CAAGATAGAACACGGGGTCAAGCGTTTTCTTCTCGGTACCTAGAAGCACTGGCGTGAACAGTGTCAGTGTCAACTGCAGTTCTGCGCAGAGACAGCAGTACAGAAATATTTTACCGTAACCGTACTATACCTCAGAATATACAGGGTGACCTCAAATTTTCCCATTTAGAATTACAGTATTAATGTTCTTCTTCCAAGCATATTCGTTTCAGTGGCACCTGTAGATCTGGTTACTCCTTTCTCTCCAACCGCTGTAGTACTTCTGATGGCCTGTGCTGAACAGTGAGCGGATGATTCCGTTATAATGCCTTCTTGCAACACAAAAGTTGACTTCTTAGCGCCCGTAGGTACCAACCAATGTAATGTTAAAGGTTAAATTCAGGTTGTGACCTCACCCCCGATGAAGCCCTGCGCACCTTCAGTGCTTTGCGTTCCTCGATGAAACGCGTAAATGGTTCTAGGAACACTTCAGTGTTTATTGACAGAGCGAAATCGGCTCAATACCGTCGTACGGGGTCGTGTTTCCTGGTGTAACGGAAGGATCAGCAAGACAGCATATAGCAGGCGTTGAACGACAAGCATCTGTGAATACGAATATTTATTGAGTTTCGAATAAACCGCCATATTTGCCGGTCTTTTCTGATGTTGCTGTTTTGAGTTAATAATGAATATTTTGACTCGAGCATCTCGACAGATTCCTGTATTCAGGTATCCGAGTGAGAGTTGTGGTGTACAGGCGCTGCTTCTCTAGATTAGGAAGTCGCAGCTGTGATGGGTCGACCAGGAATAACCTGGGGTATGTGTACAGTAGGACTGCATCAGACCCAGGTTCTCAGGACTGGATGAGGAACCTTGTACAGGTTGTTTGACGTTGCTACGTCCTCCACCAGAGAGGACAAGCGGCAATCGGAAGTGACTGACTGACTATCTGACTATCTGAGCGAGTGAATGAGTGATTGACTGGCCGACTGATTCGGACATCTTCAGGTTTTAACTAATCTTTGGATCTATCGCAACGTGTGCAGGGTGTAAAATGGCACTGTTTGAAAGAACTGCGCTCCAAGTGCTATTAGTTTTCATGACAAATGACACAAGGCTGTGGAATCGCAGCGCTCGTCCAAAAAGCCGTCCTAACTTCAAAAGAAGCATACATTGAATGCCTGCTTGAAAAAAGTACAGCGCTGTTCGTCGAAAATGACTTTTTCATCTACCACCGCTTCGTCTGTCTTGGCGCCATGACCAACTCACAAATGATGGCGTTGTTCAGTTGACGGTTGGTCGCCCCGAGCGGGAGCCGGCGTTTTTGCTGGTTCGTAGGAACAAGTCTGTTGGGCAACACCGAATGGTGGTGAATGTCGTTCGAACAGAACTGTGACGGCGGTCCTTCGGCGTTCGTGCATGACAGACTGCATAGCCATCTGTCATATGGACTGCCCGGGGGATGACGGTACGACTGACCCAGGTTGTTAGCCGAACGTCGATGTCACATCGATTTCGTTACGAAGTTGACAATTCGCGTTTTTTTTTCGCCTGTCTACCTAAACGTTTCTTCTAGTCGACATGTGAACATGTTACGAATGATCAGAGCTGCCATCTTATATTTTGTCTGGCACTCTACCGTCTCAAGGCATTTGTTTTTCGTCTGTAGATCGCTGGCAGTACCCCTGCCCCCCTCTGTTCCTAACCGTGCTTTCATAATGGTATTGTAATGGGTTGTTCGAAAAACCTGACTCGCCATAGGTACCCACCCCATGCCGTGGTTATGCTGACAGCCTCAGCTCGTTTGCTCGGATTGCTTGAGGTGCTGCCTTCGTGCTAGTTCGTTGTTAAGCGATAAACATTTCTTGATGGATTTTGACCATGACCGAAGTACGGCTCTTTAGCACGTGAGCCT